AGGGGGGAGCCACTGCGAGGGGCACTGAGCGCCCACTTGGACAGGATTAATTCCAACCCGGAGTCCTGGCAGGTCAGTGGCTCCCACTGGCGCTCCGGTGTGGTCTGCCCTGTGACGGCCCAGACAGCAGAGGGGAGCGTGCATGGAGAGGGCAGGGGATGTCACATGGGCATCCTGAAAACTGGCCCAGCCACTCACGTGACGTATCAATTACCCGGTCTTCCAAGGGGCTGTCGGCTGCCCTGCTCAGAGATCCCAGCTGAACGCACCACTGGTGAACACGGCCGCTCAATTATTTAAGGGAGCTGCGTCTCCATTAGGTGGAAACAATGCGCTCGTACAACATTTATTAAGGAAATTGTCGACATGCTGTTTCTTCCGAATGTCACTTTGTCTCCAGCCTATTAAAAGGCCCGTGTTTACCACGGAGCCAGCAGGCATTCGCTCAGGGCGGCACTAAGTGCTGGCACCACCTCTCCCGGCTGCCCTCGGTGGAGACCATGAGCTCATGCCAGTCACACGGTGACATGCTCGCCGAGCTCCCGAGGGACCTGCGCGCTCCAGGAAAACTAGGCTAGAGCCCAGCTTCTTTCCCTGGGAAGAAAACGCCAATTTGGTTTAAAATATGCAATCTTCCAAACCTTCTAGACTGCCTCTCCACCACACCCCACCGCAGGGGAGGGGACTTGCTCTCTTCGCCACAGGGACGTCTCTCTCAGCTCCGCCTCGGGCTGTCCAAGCGTCTCCTGCAGCCCTCACTTAGGGGCAGGAAGTGCCACCCCAGACCCCCGGGAACCTGAGATCTGGCCCACTGAAAGGTCAGGGCTCTCCCTCCTTTCCCTTAGGTATGACACAGGCAGCTTCCCACGAAGGCCCACCAAGTAAGAGAACTCGGAACTCTCAAGAGACGCACGCTCACCCGTTCTCAGGGTGGTGCTTGGGCGTGGCCATGAGTGAAGCGCAGCCCGACCCGCCACAAGGTCGCCTGGCCGGGAAGAATGCGCTCCTCTCACACTGGAACGCAGGATGACAAGAAAAGCATGAAAAGCTCCAAACTCAGTTGTGAGGGAGAAAAGGGGCGGGTAGATTAGAACTCAGAGCAGGAAGGCCTATGGAGGGTGCCTCTCCCTCCCTCCCTGTGCCTCGCCCTCCCTTCTCTCTCTTTCTCTTTCTCTCTCGGAGTGCCTATCACTCTAAAGATAAAACATAGGAAGCTTTAAATACCTTAATAGCCTTACAATTTGTTATTGCCAAAAAAGAGGCTAACAACCGCAGGAGCCACAGCAGGCCGCAGACTTCTGGGGGTGGAGGGTCTCGTCCGGGTGCGAGGGCCGCGACTACCAGGGTGGTGGCTGCTGAAGGCGGGGCAGCTGCGGCAGTATCTTCACATCAGACGCAGCGCGGTGTGCACGTGGATGGTCGTCCCCTCACGAGAGCGCTCTCAGCCTGTGACGAGTCTGCTAACGTCCGGCCACAGCGGAACTTCCCAAGCTGCAGTCAGCCTTCTCAAACCCTGCCTCTGCTTTACCGACCTCGTTTATGCAATGGTCTAAGCCTTCTGTTGTTGGCCCCTTCTTAAAAGTTTGTCTATTTCTTCCACAAGAGAGGAAGAGAGGAGAGAGAGGGGAGGGAGGCAGGCAGACAGGCACCCTCAGGAGGGTCTCTGTGCCCCATCCGGCCACCCCGGTCACAGAGAGCAGAATCCCAGGAACAGGACGTGCACCCAGTGTGCACATGGACACCTCAGGGCCTTGGGACGTGTACCAAGGTCCCCCATGGCTTCAGCATCACAGAGCATTGCTACTCCACCACAGCAGGCCTCTCTGCTGTCATTTTAAAAATAAATCTTTTAAAATTTTATTTATTATTACTATGTTTAAAAAATTTGGTCAAAGAGGGACCAGCAGATGGCATAATGGTTCCATCGCTGGACTCCTACATAGTCAACCACAGTTTGAGTCCCAGACCAGGAGAAAACACGTCGGGCGCGTGTACGTGCATGCCCAGAATCCCAAGTAGAGAATGGAGGAGACAGGATTATCACATGGCCATTTCTCCTGGGATGCTTTCTGCCTCTCTGTAACTCTTGGGAACATGCCAGAGAAAGAAAGAGATAGGCAGAAAAAGTGAGAAGGCAACCTGCTAGGTCGGGGATTGGAACCGCACTATGCCGTGTGAGAGTCCAGCACCTTAACCACCACCCTACCTGCCCGCCCCTCTGCTGCCATTTTAACAATGCTCACAGCATATTCACCAGGAGAAGGGTCTATCTCAAGAAACCACTTTGTTTGCTCATCCTTAAGAACCAACTTCCCATCCATTAAAGTGTAACCACGAGGCTGCAGCAGCAATTCCACTACGTTTTCAGACGCCCCTCTCATCCCAGTTCTCTTGGCATTCTACCCCATCTACAGTCACTTCCTCTACCGAAGTCTCGAGCCCTCACAGTCACCCAGGAGAGCCGGAGCAGAACCACGGGTGTTTAGAGGCAGCTAGAACGACGGGCCCTTTCCAGCAGCTTTCAACTTCTGCCCAGACGCCTCTGAGGAGTTTCTACCTATGGCAGCTAGCTATAGTCTTATGAAATGTACTTCTTTTTGTGTATTTTTTTCTTAAGAAAGTTTTTTTTGTTATAGAGTGCATGTGCTTGCTAGATAGAGACAGAGAGAAAGCGAGAAATCATCCCCCAGGGGGTAGGCCACGCCACAATCCCTCTCCTCTATTCTCCTCTCGGGATTTGGGGCATGTAACCACACACACCCGGCGTGAGTTTTAAGCTGCTGGGTCCAAGACTTGAACTGCAGTCAACTACTTGGGAGTCCAGCGACAAAAACATTACACCATCTGCGGGTCCCATAAAATGTATTTAAGCAATAAGAGGTGAAAGTTGAAATTATTCCTGATCCACGGGCTGCAGCCTGGGTGTTGTGTTAGCGGGAATGTGAATCTCCATCTCTCTCTCCACCAGAGCCCTCAGGTTACCAAGAGTACTGTGGCGAGCAGTAATATTTGAATCTCTTATTCTGAGCAGTAGGTCTAACAGCTGGCTTTAAGAACGCAGTAAGCCACGTTGTAAGCCTGCCATCCAGGCTTTGCTGTTCCGTGTACAGCACAGGCAGCGTAGAGGCCATCGTGGGGTTATTAACGAGCCTCGTTTCAATACTGTTGTGTTTCAAGGAATAGGGAGGGGGCCTGGGAGGAGGGAGAGAGACAAGGGAACGACTGCTGGGTGGGACGGTCAGAACACACACAACACTTGCTGATTAAATCCACCGTACCAATACGGTGTGACTCCTGGTACCCATAACCATTACAATCGCATATCACGAATCATTAGATCACAGATCGCCCTAACAGAATAATAAAAAAGTCGGAAACACTGCAAGAATTACCAAAATGTGACAGGCACACAAGGTGAGCAAATGCTGTTGGAAATGGCACTAACAGACTTACTATGAGGTTGCCACAAACCTTCAACGTGTAAAAAATGCAGTGCCTGCAAAACGAGGCAAAATTAGCAGTACCTGTACCATATTATTTCTGTTACACAAGGGGGAAAACTTGTCCTCTCTCACCCACGATTACCGAAGGGTGAAGTGAAACAATAAACATAAGCAAACGAGATGTTATGCACATATAATTCTACTCCAGATACGGCTGAATTTGGTGAGCAAAATTCCATCAGAGGAGGGGGCTGATAGGTGGTGTGGTGGTTAAAGGTACTGGATTCCCACATGGCCAACCATGTTTGAATCCCAGACCTGGCAGCTTGCTTTCTCACTTTCCCTTTCTCTCTCTGTCTCAGTCTGTTTAAACAAGTAATAACAACAAATGGAAATAAATAAATAAATAAATCTTGTTTAAAATATCATCAAAGGACTTATTAGTCTAATAGTTATATACAAGCGTACTTCAAAAAGTTAGTGCAAAATAGAATTAAAGTATGAATGTATTTTGGTGCAAAAAGTTTTTAAATCCATGTGTAGTTCTTTAATAATATACATTTTCTACAAGCTTTTTAAAGATTACACTCGAACTTGTGTACAATAGTTTGCAATTTAAAATTTTTACATAAAAACTTTAGTCTAAAAAAAATCCTTTTTATACAGCTATTATTTGACTCACAATTTTGGTTAGCTCTTAGCCCAAGATACATAATGTTAATTTTTATTCATATCTTGTATAATTGTATTTAATTAGCTATATCTTTACACATCAGATTTTTATAAAGCAAAGGAAATGGCTTTTTATAAAGTAACCTTTATAAAAAAAGGTTACTTTTTATAAAGCAAAGTAACCCTAAGTTATTTTATTCACCAAACCACCCTGTCTACTCCTCTGTCAGAATCACTGTCACATTCATTTACCATGCACCCGTTATGACCTTGAAAACAACTAGAGGGGTACTGTCTAGGTTCTGAGGGTTCGTCAGAGGTGTAGTTCTTTTTATTGCAACTTAATCAAGGCATGAGTTGTGAGCACCTGGCTCAGCACTGATGAGGTGGGAAGGCAGAGTGGTGAGAGGGCAACAGCAGCAGCAGCCTGCACCAGCTGTGCCAATACCGGCAAGCGATTTCCCCAGATCACGCCTTGCTGGGACAACTTAAAAACAAGGCACTTGGCTTCTATTACTCATGCATCAATAGTAACAAATGGGAGTCTGTGATAAAGTAGGATTTTTTTAAGAGAATTACTTGACTGAACTTTATTTATTTATTCATGTATTTATGAATGACAGGGACAGAGTGAGAGAGCGAGAGAGAAAGTGAAAATGCAACCTGCCGCTAGGCCCAGGACTCGAACCATGGCCGGCCACGTGGAAGTCCAGTGCTCTTAACCACCATGCCACTTGCAGGTCCCCTAAAGCAGTATTTTTAATATCTGTATGATCTTTAACTAATTTTTTTCCCAAACTGCATTTTTGTTGTTGTTGTTGCCATAGGCGCATGTGCTTGCCAGAGAGAGACACAGGAGATAGAGAGGGAAAGTGAGAAACCTGCCTGCAGAGGAGACTGCCACGTTGCACTCCTTCTCCAGTCTCCTCTCAGGACACTCTGGGCACGGACACGCAGACATATGCATGCATGCACATGCCCAGTGTGTTTTCCAAGCTGCCAGGTCCAAAACTCGAACTATGTAGTCGGTCAGGTGGGATCTAGTGCCTTAACCTCCACGCTACTTGCTGGCTGCCCCAAACTGCATTTTTAAGAACTGAGTAACTTCTCTACAACTGCAATAATAAAAAATACATATGACTACACTTCAGAACTCCCAAGCAGCATGAAAGTCACTGCCTTAATGCAATTCTGGCCAATAGCAGCAATGCATATCTGTTAGGGCTCTGACTTTCCATGGGTCAAGCTGTGCCCATAAACTTACAGTACACATACGAACACAGGCAGAATCACAATGTCTTCTTTTACAGCTTCATCCTGACCAACGCCAAGAGCATCGTGCATGGCAAGTTAGTTAACGGCAATTTCTCTCAAGGTCAGTTTACCTTAAACAAATCTGCGACTATTCCGTAATCTGCCACCTGGAAAATGGGAGCTTCTGGGTCTTTGTTAATAGCCACGATTGTCTGCAAAATAAAAACAAAAGAGTTTGGCTTTGTTAACAAAGCAGGTCAATACTTATAAGTCCCTTGACAATGTGTTAAGATTCTTAAAATGCCCACCAAATAAGATCATTTTTATTAGGAATTTCTGGGTGGAATGTAATAAAATTGGGTCTAGTGGGTGGTGTAGTGGTGCTAGACGAGTACCCCTCATCAGAAAGTCTGAGATCCTACAGTCTGAAGGTGAGCACTGACATGATGCCACAGGGGGAAATTCCACACCCGACCTCACGTATGGCTTCCAGTCAAAATGCAGGCCCTGTGTTTGAGATGTGTATGAAATACAGACGAGGTTCAATTTAGATGGGGGCCCCTCCCTCACGATATCGTACGACATACAGGTAAATACTCCAAAAGCTGAGAAAATATGAGGAGTTGGGACCAGCAGTTAGCGTAATGCTATGTCGCTGGACTCCCACATAGTCGACTGCAGTTCGCGTCCTGAACCTGGTGGCTTAATATTCACACCGGGCGCATGTGCGTGTGTGCCCAAGATCCTGAGAGGAGAAGAGAGGAGAAGGGATTGCGGCGTGACCATCCCCCCCGGGGGGTGATTTCTCGCTTTCTGTCTCTCTGTCCCTCTGTCTGTCTGGCGAGCACACATGCTCTATAGAAAAAAAGAAAAGAAAAAAATAACCCCCCCCCCAAAAAAAGAAGAGTTTATAATCAGTGTAGGGATTTAAAAATCAGTGTTTTAGAAATTCTTTTTTTTTTTTTTTTTTTTTTTTTTGTGAGAGGTTTTTGCTATAGGGTGTGTGCATTCACAGACAGAGACAGAGATAGAAAGTGAGAAATCACCCCCCAGGGGGGATGGCCACACTGCAATCCCTTTGGATTTATGAAAATAATGTTTGATTTTATCAAGAGATGGAAGAGTAACACATCTATACTCAAATTCATAGCCTTTAGAGCTCAGACTGCTTATTCCGCCATATACTCCATTCCATTCATTATTTTTCCTTTTTCGTAAAAGTTTTCATGTATTTTATTTCTTCCATGAAAGAAGACAGATATAGAAACAAAGAGATGGAGTCCCTAGTAGGGTCCTGACACTGACCGTGAACCAGCCCTGCCCGCGGCTGCACGTGCACCCGGCGTGCTTGAGGACGTATCTGGTGTGAACCTGGACCTTCCCATGAAGGGTGGCCTACCACGGCTGGTGGTACTCTCCTGGAAGCCACCTGGCCCAACACCTGGCAGCTGATGGCATAAACTTCCCAGTTTTTCACTCCACTATACACAAGTCATTGTTTTGGTTTGTTTTTTTTTTTTTTACAGTTTTTCTTTCTTCTGTAAGAGAGACAAAGAGAGAAACAGGCACCTCGCTCCAGAGTCTTCATGCCACGATCCAACCCAGCCTTAGCCAGCCAGGATCCCAGGCACATATGTGCATGCCCAGCATGCACAGAGAGACCTCGGGCCTCGAACTCAGAACCTTCCCATGTGGCCTCAGCCACTGGGGAGCAATGCTGTACAACTACAGCTGGCCTTTAAGTGATTTTTAAAGAAAGAACACATAACTATGGGCAAGGAACCACTATGGCATTTAGGAGAAAGGACATGAGCTAGTTATAGGCTTTCAGATTACAGAAATAATATTCCTGAATAATCAGCTGTAACAACTATGATGAAAGTCTTGCTTATACCCAGCATTCACTTTGTAACTCCTTGTGAGTTCAAGCTCTTCCTCCTTGGAGTTTTCAAATGCACAGATTGTATTGTATTTATATTTATATATATACACACACACACACACACTCACACACACACTCACACACATATACATATAGCCCAAAGAGTGCTTTCATTACATTGATTCATTTGATGTAACAATCAAGTCTCCTACTCTTTCGTCTATACCACAGCACTAATTCCAACCACAGGTTGTGCCTAGCCAGGTGGCCTGGGTGCAGAGGGCACCATCAACCGCAGGCTCAGATCACCAGACAGGCCTGAAAACAGGCTGGGTGCATGCAGGGGCACCCAAGATCCTGAGGAGCTGGAAGGCCGGAGGCGGGGACGGTGGCGGGACATGACCCTGTTGAAGGTGCTTTTTCTCTTCTTTACTATACGTGTGTGCATGCACTCTCCCATCATAGAAAACAGTCGCAGCTTACAGGCAATGCGACAGTCAGATGGAAAGTATTCTAATATCCCATTTTAGAACTTACCCAAATTACAACTGGAGTCAGTCTGCCTTCTGCACAAGACAGTGACAACAGGTCTTTGTCTTTTTCGTTTAAGCATCACAGCAACTAGCACAAGAAATGTGCTTAATAAACACTTGCTGACTGGACGGAGAGACAGCCCTGGCTGAAGTTCGTTCTCCTAGGCAGCCCCCAACACTGGTGTCTTTACTTCAACTGCCACCTATTTCCCTGACAGACACCACCTCGTCCCTCTCTCTCACAATCCAGCCCTGTTTGCGTGGGGTGAGTGTTTCGGAAAAGCAGGATTCTAGATGTGTCTAAACCAGTTTTGCTAGAAATATATTTTAAGGCTGCTGGTACTGGGCTTTATTTTTAATGTGGCAATCACGTTTTCCCCACCAGCACTGCTGTTTTCATTGCTCAGTAAGAAACCTGCCATCCAACTGTGAAATCTGACTGGTTTGGGGCCAATTCATTTAGAGGCTACAAAGAGGTAGTGCACGCACTTCTCCAGGTTAGAAGTTAAGCCTGTTAAAACTTTTATTATCTTTTCTATCAAGCTTCCATCTGAGTGGATAAATGCAAGAGTGTCGGAGGCATCTCTGACTTCACCAAAGATGGGTTCATAATTCAAACTGCACATTGTTATGCATGAATCGATGTGGCCTATTCTGAAGTGTGTGTTCCCAGACATCACACAGGACTTCCAGACACAGTACAGACAGCAGGTGAAGACCTCTCGACGGCATGGAGGTGTGAAGATGGCCTGAGGCTCTGACCAGAACCTGTGGCCGTGTTCTGGTAACAACTGGACAAGAGACTGCACAAGGCGTGGGCCTGTCAGGACCAGGGTGACGCAGGCAGGGAATCAGTGCTCAGAACCTGATCGAACTTCCACCTACCGTTTCCTACCCACAGACTGTCGGAGCTGATGGGGCACCAGCGATCACCATCAGTGCCCACGGTCTGGCTGACCTAGAGGTCTGCAGACGGGGTGGCACACAGTCAGCTGTGACCAGGTTCGGGCCTCGCTCCCTGACTCTGCACAGCCTCTGCTACCACAGCACACCTTAAGGCAGCTTGTGTATCTTTCAGTTCCTGGATCTATGTTTTTGTTTATCTTTGAGAGAGATTTTTGCTATAGGGCAAATGTACTCGCTGGAGAATGAGACAGAAAGCGAGAAATCGCCCCCAGGGGAGTGGCCAATCCCTTCTTCTCCAGTCTCCTTTTGGGATTCCAGGCACACACACACCCACACGCATGAGTTTCAAACTGCTGGGTCCATGACTCGAACCGCAGTCGACCACATGGGAGTCCAGCGACATAACCATTACGCCACCTGCTGGTCCTGCTGGATCTATGTTAATGTGAATGCTTCAACTACACACACTATGCCCACACGGAAACATACAGTGAGACCAAATTTCACACTGTGTATGCGTTTTCCAGTAGTACCCTGATGGGTAGATACAATTACCTTGCTGTCTTTCATCCCAGCTAAATGTTGGATGGCTCCAGATATTCCAACAGCAATATAAAGCTCCTGAAAGAAGACACCACATGATCAGCATGCATTCATATTATACAATGCTTTCCAGATGTTTGCTAGTAGCAATTTAAGTGAGGCAAAAAGCATGTTAAATAAAATACATGCACTACATATTAAACTATGCTTTCCTCCTTCTCTGACCTCCTTAACTGGAGTTCTTCCCCTCCTGTGAGTTCCTACCATAGTGGTGAGACCGTGACAGATCCGTGGACAGGGCGGCTCACGGAGCTTACTGTGTGCAGGCACCGTGAGCGATGACAGCAGCTGCCTCAAACTCGCGACTCCCTGTGAGCAGCACTTTCCATGTGGCACGCATCTGGACATATCTGTGCAACCCGTACACATGCACACGCCACTCGTGACATACACGCACTGTGTGGTTACACATGAACACAGACACACGTCTTTTCCCATGATAGAGAGCGCACACACCAGAGAGAGAGAGAAGCACCCGGGTAGGATGTCATCAGCCCCCAGCTCTGTGGGATCCTGGTGGCTGCACCCCACCCAGCGTGCTCTCAGGGCAACCCGGGCACCTGAACCCTTCTGGCCACATGGCTTCCAGCCTAGCAGGGCACCATGTGGCTGCACCTCCCCGGCGGGGCCTACTCCCCACACTATAACACATACTGACTTAGCGGCTTGCCTTCTCACGAAAGCTTACTTACTAAAACGGCAACTAGGGTCCACTTATTAAACTTCGTATTCAGAAAAATCCAAAATACAAATCAGCACCAAGAGGTCCCAAACGCACACACGCAAACACACACACACACACACACTCACACTCAGAGTATTCATGCTTGAAAACTAAAACTCACTGTCATGAAAACTGGGTTAAGTGTTTAATTAAAAGAGCTTAACTGCTCCACTCTGTCTACTAGGTATAATTAAAACTTCAACTGAAAACCTTTTCCCACACTTAAACCGAACAAGTCCTGGCTTAGGGAGGTGAACTGACTATGCAGCTAGACTGACACCAGCGTCTGTCACAGCTGACAGCAGAATCTCCCCTCGGTATGAATAAGACCCAGGCACTGAGAGTGGCTCTGTCACACTGAGTTTCGATACAGAGCAGATACTTCAAAGCCCAGGACTGTGCGAGCCGGTCCCGCCTTGTTTTCTGCATTGCTTGTGAACTACTGTAACAACTGCTCACGCTAAACAAGAGGTCATTTCAACTAGGACCTGGGAATACGTCACTGCTGCTTCTTTTTAATGCTATTGTTTCTTTTTTTCAAAAAGAATTATTTATTATTATTATTATTAAATTTGCCATAGGGTATGGGCACCCACCAGAGAGAGAGAGAGAGACAGAGAGGGAGAGAAAGTGAGAAAGCAAGTCACTAGGTCCAGGACCGCAGTCGGTCAGGTAGGAGTCCGGTGCCTTAAACTCCACGCCACCCGCTGGCCCCTGTCACTGCTTCATGACGTTATGATTTTTCTTAGCACCTAAGTATATGAGGCGGCATGCAAGTCACTTCCCCTCTTGGGGCCTCAGTTTCCCTAAATGTCAACAGGAGAGGTTTAGCTCCAGCCTTGATGCTTTTTAAAAAACTCCCTGGGAGATTCTAACACACACAGCGAGAGCTGAGAAGCACTAGAACGGTGAGCCGTCAGCAACTCTGCAGTCTGAATCCCGTAATTCTGTCCAGAGCATCGGTGCGGCCTTATATTTGAACGCATTAAATGTCCAACTGCAGGATACCACTGTATAAGCTGGAAACGAAACAACCCAGTCCCCAAAGTGAATCACCCAGGAATGGGCTGAGCGAGAATTCAACTTGCTCCACAGTCGTCATCAAAAGTCTGAACATCTGGGAACCAGCAGTTAGCGTAATGGCTATGTTGCTGGACTCCCACGTAGTTGACCACGGTTCGCATCCCAGACCCGGTGGCTTAAAACTCACACCGGGCGCATGTGCATGCATGCCCAAGATCCCGAGAGAATGGAGGAGAAGGGATTGTGGTGTGGCCATCCCCCCTGGGGGGGGGTGATTTCTCACTTTTTGTCTCTCTGTCTCTGTCTGCTTGGCAAGCACACGCAACCTTATAGCAAAAAAAAAAAAAAAAAACTCTCAAAAAAAAAAAGTCTGAACATCAGGAAGAGCGATCTGACTTCACGGTATGGGCGGGGAGGCGCACTGCAAATAAAAGGTATGGGGGAGGACGGACGGCGCTGGCATCTCCGTGCGGCCGCTGTGGACGTGTGCGGGGTGCCGGCTATGACCGCAGAAGCTGGCCGACGTGCTAGGCCCCGTGGGTCTCAGACGTGGACACGCACATGGGTGAGATATAAGCTCCTTTTCTTTGAAACTTCTTTTCTTTGAAGCTCTTTCCTAGTTAAGAGTCATAAGTAACTTCAACTGATCATTTTAAGATCATTTCAGTTTATCCTGGCTAGCACCGCCAGTCATAGAGAGCATTCATTAAATGGTCACTCAAAATATACTTACTCAATCTCATGTTTAAGTAAAGCAGGCCCAGCAAATTTTAATGCAAAGACTTAATTTTAAACAAGTTATCTAGACAGACAGAAACTATCACTAACCACTCTTCCTAACTACTCTTCCGGTCTGTGCCCAAAGCAAGAGTGGAAAGGTCAATCATCTGGTGAGTCTTTCAGACTCACTACATTAAAATTCAGCAAGTCTTAAAAGCACCATTCGCATCATAAAATGCTAATAAAAATGTTGATTCACCCTGCAGTCAACATCAACACGACGGAAATGAAATGTACTGTAAGCCCCCTGCTCCCCACCATGAACGCCATCGAATTCCCCATAAAGGTTGCTGTGGAGATATCGGATTCTGGGCCAGAACGAAGCACAGGCTGGGGGCTTCAGGGCCCTTCTAACTTGCCAATCAGTAAATGAGTCCAAATGGGTCCATGTGACCAATGGGACTTCGTTTTACTGTCTTGCAAACATGGTTCTACGAATAAACATAAAACCATTGAAATAATAGCCCAAACCAGCTTAGGGATTTTGGCGGCTGTTCTGAGGCTCTGAGAGCTCTCTCAAGCAGGAAGAGAAGCTTTTTATTCCTTTTAAAAAACATGTACAGGCAATTAGACTAATACCCTTCCTCGGGTTCAGAAAGCATTTTTGTATCTCAATAACAATAATTAGTATGTACCAAACTCTTTAGAGATGCTAATTTATGGAGCACTCAGCTACTGCTTCACAGCAATCCCTGCCCCAGGCACTCTCCTTCTCAACCAGGCAGTAGGCTGATGTGGAGAGAGGAAAGAGATGCGCTGGAGGGGAGAAGGCAATTAGGGTTCAGAGAGGTGGGACTAAGGGAGAGAAAGGGACACAGGAAGGAGGGGTCGTCCTGGAGGCAGTGGCTTTAGCACAGCTAGGGGTCTGTGAAGCAAGAATGGCAACGGAAGGAGTAAGGCCACAGCGTGGGAAGAGGTCAGGGGTGGTCTTGAAATGCAGACGGCACTTATTGAGGGCTTGCACCGAAAGCACACCTCCCTGCTCCTCTGCTAAGACTGGAAAAGACCACAGCTAGACTCCCCCGAAGACCTCCGCGGCTAAGGTCTAACTGCTTCGCCACGGGCTGAGCCAGACACAGCTGCTGGTGAGGCTGGCCCGAACGAGGAACTCGGGTTCTGGGGCCTCACTGCCTCGGTTCACATCTCAGCCTTGCCACCTGGTGGACGTGTAGCCACTTCCCTATCCTCACGGTGCCTCGGGGGCCCACGTGAAAAACTGGGACTGTAAGAATTCCTATTCGTAGGGTTACAGTTGAGGCTTCAGTCCTTGGAACAGTTTATTCAAACACCGAGTTCCTCGGCCCGTGGGCTGCCACACGGGATCCCGGGTGGTCTCAGGACTACCGTGTACAGTTGAGGAGGCTGTTCACTGAGCAACTCCAGAGGGAGGAACAGCTGCCACAGACCTACACTTCTACAATAATTTCCCAAGAGATGGTGGTAAAGTTACTTGAGGCAATGGTAGCCTACCGTATAATCTACATGGGAGAGTGGCATGGACTTTAGCACTGGGTGGCTAAAATTCCCTATGGTACAAATACTAAACTTTTTAAAAGAGATTTTTGGTATACAGTGTGGGTACTCCCTGGAAGGGCAGACAGAAGGGAGAAATCACCCCCGCAGAGGGTGGCCACGCCACAACCCCTCCTCCCTCCATCCTCCTCTGGTGCGCATGTGCCTGGCGTGAGCGTCAATCCACTGGGTCCGGGTCTTGAACCGCAGTTGACCACGTGGGAGTCCAGCACTGTAACCGTTACGCCATCTGATGGCCCCAGTATCCACACTGTTGAAGTGTACCGTAACAGGGAAAGTGGAGCCGCACTGCCTAACTCGTTTCACTGCTGACACTGCTGCTGTACCTCTCAGATAACGTAAAGACGACGAACTCTGCCCGCTGTCCTCAAGAAACTCACAATCTAATAACTCGGGCTGGGGCGAGTGCACGGACTGTGTAATCCGATAAAGGGAAATGGCAAAGACGGGTGATGGAGCCTGCTCTCGTGCAACCCTCACTGCACCTGTCCCTGAGAGGCAGAGAGGCCTCTGGGAGCAGGAGGCGGCTAAGGCCTAGAGCTGCCGTCTGCCACGCAGGAGCCCACCTGTGCAGTCCTCCCCATCTCTCCTGCCCCCTTAGCTCTTCAGACAGAACGGCGTTTAAAGTAGGCATTAATGGCTCTGGTTTGGTGACAAAGCTGTATGTCTGAGAAGCAAAACGGCAATGAATCCTAAGACTCTGACAGAAATCCAACCAGCATGAGGATTCAACACGGCCGAGGATGCTCTGGTGGTTAGGTCCGGGCTGGTTTCTTCAGAAAGGAAGTGAGCACCGACAACACCACTGCTCTACCCAAAGGCTGGGCGGGGGAACTGAGCCCGCAGGTCCACAGGAGCGTGGAGAAAAAGAGAAGGAAGAAAGAACAGAGACGAGAAAGACTGTCCCCTGCTGTGCACGGATTGTAACCTAACACTCCTAAGTCCGAAGCTTTCTATA